TTTAGAAAGAAGCATCGATGTGAAAATGCAACACCAATTGGCCGCCTCTTGCACCGAGGACCAAGCCTGCACCCTGGACTCCATGAGCAGAAGGGAACCGGCAACACACACACACACACACACCCCCACCCAGTGCACAGGGTGACACCCAACAGAGCCACCTGGGCCAAGGTACAATACCTAACAACTTTTGAAATAAAGCTCTGACATGATGTTTATGTTTGTTTGTATTTTGTTAATCCTCACTCAAGGATTTTTTCCTCATTGATTTTTAGAGTGGGAGGGAGACACATTGATTGGTTGCTTCCCAGGGCCAAGGACTCAAACCCTTTAGTGTGGGGGCCAACACTAACACTGAGGAACACCAGCCACGGCTAACATGGTGCTGTAACTGGCTTATAGAGTAAAAACAAAGTGCTACAGGGATTAAGTAGAGGAAGGAAACAATTCTGCCTTCAATCAGAGGGCAGAGGTGGAAACTGGGCAAGTTCACATATCTTTTTTTTTTTTTTAATCTTCACCTGAGGATATTTTTTCCATTGATTTTTGTTGTTTGAGAGTGGAAAGGGATGGGGAGGGTGTGGGGGGAGTGGGACATCAATTGGTTGCCTCCCAAATGTGCCCAAATGGGGCAGGAGGTTGAACCTGCAACTGAGGGACGTGCCCTTGACCAGGAGCCAAACCTGTGACCCTTTGGTCCAAAGACCGCTCTATCAAGCCAAACCAGCCAGGGCAGGTTCACCTATCTTGAACACCTATTAAGTGCCAGGTATATCTGAGGCTTTAAGGACCCCAAAGTGGGCAACATGTGGAGATTATCTGGGGTGGGTCTGTGCTCCTGTGGTCTGATCAGCAGCTATTCCCCTACTCTTCTATCCCATGACTTCCATTGCCCCTTGAGGATTCCATGCTCACTCTGTTACTTTGGGAACACATGATCAAGGTGCTCTGGCCAGAGGTTGGATCTGAGGCTCACAGTTGTCATCTGGGAAATTCAATCTTGAGTGACACAAGAAATAATGACTAGTTCATCACCCCAAAACAATGACCTCTTTAAAGAGACTTCCAGGAGTTCCTGCTCCCTGGACTTTCAGATCTGACCCAGGTCTTATTCAACCAAATGCTGGTCCTTCATCCCTTCCATTTCAGGAGCCACCCCAGATCCTTTCATAGATTCCTGTTTTGATAAAGTTAGTTAGAGCCAGCTCCCGTTGCATGCAACCTGAGGATCCTGGCCAATGGCTATAGCCACCAACAGGATGTGTGCCAAAAGAGTGACAGGTGGGTGAGATTGCAATAGATTGAAGATTGGAGCCTATTCCTTGATGCCTTTCCCAATGTGTTCAGTCCTTAATGGTACCATGGCGTGGCTCTTTTAGAGGCTGATAGATAGCAGCTACAATTTACCTTTTCAGCCAGAAAGTCACATTTTTTAGCCGCTTCTGAGGAACATGCTTTAGGGAAGTAAAGTTGTGACTTGAACTCATGTTCACCATTTCTACATTAGTTCAGCCATCCACACCATTGCCATACTAGTCTGGCACATGGAGTTCTTTGTGAAACCTCTTGGCTCAGTTTCCTTTGTGCAACTACAGGAATTTGTCTGTTCACTCTATGGATTTACCACACTACACTGTCATTTGTCTAGCTTCAGTAGTAGCTGTGAACTCCAAGAGAGCAGAGTATAAAAGCAGGGTCTGGCACAGTGCTTTGCACTAAATGTTTGTAGAGCAAACTAAACATTATACAAAATATATGAAATTGGAGAACATTAAAAGATCATGTGAATCAAGCCCCTTTTAAAAAAAAAAAAAAAAAAGGCCAGTTTGATTCCCAGTCAGGGGACATGCTTGGGTTGCGGGCTTGATCACCAGTAGGAGGCATGAAGGAAGCAGCCGATCGTGATTTTTCTCTCAACATTGATGTTTCTATTTTCTCTCCCTCTCCTTCCTCTCTGAAATCAATAAAAATATATATTAAAAAAAAAAAAAAAAGACTACGACGATGAAGACCGAGAACCAGTTCGGATATCACCCCAGCAAGAAAAACAACAGTTCTGACTCTGAAAGATAAGGTAGCTTACCAGAGGTTATTCAGTGGCAGGTCTGGGCCTAGAATCTATCCCAGTGAAATCCAGTCTGCACCAGTGTGAGACTATCCTATTCTTTCCCCATCAGCATAACCCAGCTGCAAAACACAGCCAAGTCTTGGCAACTCTGTTTTCACATTGTTTCTCCCACATAAATTACTCAGTCCAATCCACTGTCAGTTCTCAATTCCAGGACAAAGTTTATTTGTCATGTGCAAGTAGGGATGAAAAGGGTGGGGGGTGTGGTCCCACTATGCAGTTACTCTCTAGCCTTCAGTATGTGCTGTCTCAGCTGGTCTCTGACCAAAGCCACTTGTTTATAGTGGTGCTACCTTGAGAGCATTTTAGGTCAGTGGCCATCTCCTGAGTTCCCTGGTCACATTCCAATCATTGTGATCAATATATGAGTGATTAATCATGGTCAAAAGTAGACAAGAGGCACAGGCTGTTGAAGGAATACCCTCTATTAAAGAGAGTTCTGGTAATGACACATGGAATGCTCAATTTGTTAAAGTGCTCAACTACAACATAAAAATAAAGGTGTTGGGAAGATATCTACTGGTAAAAAAGCAAGTTATCACCTGAGGGGCTTCTGGAAAGACATAATAAGGAAAATACATAAAAAAGAACTCTGCTCACATTTCATCAATGATAAGGGAAAGAAAAACTAGAGCTCAGTCCCTGAATCACTAAAACTCAAAATCAAACATATCCCCAGATGGAGACCAGCTCCTTTAACATCTCATGGAGACTGAATGAAACGTTCATCATTGTCTTTTTTAACTCTTCTCTCTTCAATTAAATTTCTAATCTAAAACCTAGTTCCCTGTATAAAAAGGTCTATTATCAGCAAGTGACCAATTTATATATGGCCTATAAACCACTTTTCTATAATGTGATTAGTAAAAACCTGCAGCAAGATGAGAATTCTGAGTCCCAAATCTGCCAGGTTGAGGTCCATACCCAAGAACAAGAGGTCCATAACATATCCTCCTGGCATGATTATAAGACCCATGATTGGGGTGCCACGGTAGTGAGGGTAAGTATCCATCAGCAGCAGTGGCTCTCTTGTTCTAGAAGTTAGTATATGGCCTCACAGTCACTTGTAAGTCCAGTGAGCAGTGGCCCAGCCCTGGCCCTTGCACAGGTCCCTGTGACGAAGGAAACAGGCATGGACTCGGAATCTACGACCGCAGTGGGGACAGGCATGCAAGGCTCCCGCATGGGTCTTCATATGCTCTGTCAGGTGGTGCTTCAGCTTGAAGCGCTTGTTGCAGATCCCACAGCCAAAGGGCCGGAGGCTGAATGTCAGCATAATGTGCCGGTCACGCTTTGGTTTCACTGCAAACCGCTTCCCGCACAAGCAACCAAAACATTTTCCATCTGCAGGGGGTGTCCCCCCTAGTTTCACAGGCCCATGAACAGCCTGCCCCACTCCCCCGGGTCCCCCACCCCCTGACAGGATTTCATTGCCATGAAGATCCACTGGTTTCCAGGATGGACCTCCTCCTCCAGAGGTTGCCCCAACTCCTGCGGGCGACAAGAACCCCAGCTCTCCGCTCCCTTCAGTGACTCCTCTAGGAAACACTGTGGTCTCCTCGCTTACTCCTCCAGACTGAGTTCCACTTCCGGTTATGTCCTCCTTAGGCTCAAAGGGTTCCTGCTTAATGTAGAAGATTTTGGGGGGCGGTGCAGAAGGAAGGGCAGGAGGTTCAAGTGGTGCACTCCCCTCCTCTGGAAGCCTGCGGGGAGTAGCAGATATGGGCAGTGAGTGGGACCCGTGAGAGTGGGGAACCCCCGAGACACTGGCAGGTTGAGGAGTCTGAGAAAGTGCTGCCGACCCCTGGTCTTCATCATCTTCCTCTTCCTCCTCCTCCTCCTCCTCCACTTGAATCTGTAACACCTCTCCCAGTTCACTCCCCTCCCCTCCAACGGGGTTCTGGGTAGAAGCAGAAGACGGCACCGGAGTCTGGAAAGAGGAAGAGCGAATGCACCAACCTCCTGCTGATGAGGTAGTGGAAAGAAGTGTGTGATAAGGGGTGGCTCCCCGGGCTGCAACTCCACCGCCTGAGGTTTCCAATTCTCTAAGAATCTCGGAGCACTGATCCACTACTTGCCACATCTGGAGGCCACTGGCCACGAGGAGGTGGGCAGGGAGAGCATCCAGTGGCAGGCGCAGGCGCCCTGAATAGATGAGCTGGAGCAGCCCCTCGAAGGCATCAGCTTCAATGACGCTGGGCAGGGTGAGACGCGGGGCATCCCCCAGGAGAAGTTTGTCGTGGAAGTAAGGCGAGGCAGCAGCCAGCACTGCTTTGTGAGCCCTCAGCTCCCGGCCCTGCACCAGGAGGGACACGTCGCAGAACTTCCCCTCCAGCCGGTGCCGGTTCAGGGCCTCCAGGAGCATTGAGCTGTGCTGAGGGAACTCGATCTGGATGGTCCGTGGGGCTGGGTTGCGGTTCGGGGACGGGGGGACGGGAGGCAAAGGTGCCGAGGTATCCATGGCCTCCACGGAGATAGAACCAGAGGACCGACTCCAGGAGATGAGGGCAGGGGTGGACCTCACGCCGGTTGCAGGCTGGGAGGAGAGACGGGGTCACAGCAGCTCTGAATGAGGAGTGCGCGTTGCCTCTAACACCACCTGCCTTCCCTCCCGCCACCCCTCACACCCGCGGAAACTTTTCAGTCAGGCCGGTCCCGCGCACCCCCCCACCAACAAACCACCACCAGCCACTACCAACCGGGTCTGAGAAGACGGAGGTCCTCCAGCCGGACCCGCCTGGCCGCCGCTCCGCTGCCCACAGGGCCCGGCTCCCGGGACGCCGCCAGCACCGCGGTGCAGCCACCGCACCTCAGCAGCCACCGCGCCGTCCCGGCCGGAAGCCGCCGCCTTCCCCGACTCCAACGCCGGATGCGGTGGGCGGGACTAGACGCAGCCAATCGGAGCCCACGAGCCCCGTGGTGATAGGCTGCGCCGGCGGGAGGGCGGGGCTGGGGCGGTGCGGGCCGCGCGCAGGCGGAGCGGCGGCTGGGGAGCCGCGCGGGGTTCAGGTGGCGCCCGCGCCCCGCTGGGTGCTAAGAGGCGAGACCAGGGGGCGCCGGCCGCGTGGGCCAGGCATTGTCCGGTCACCGGAGCCGGCCCCGCCTGCAGGTGGGTGCGCCTTCCGGTGTCCTCCGCTGGGCCAGAGGTAGGTCTGGGGTTGGAACCCTATTCGCTAAGGAACCATGTTCTTTCCTCCCTTGCGCCTGGGGACATTTTAACCAGCAATGAAACCTTATTTCTAGGTAATTACTTTCTCTATTTTTTACTTAATATGTTTTTATTGATTTCAGAAAGTTAGGGAGAGGTAGAAACATCAGTGATGAAAGAGAATCATTGATTGGCTGCGGCCTGCAGGCCACGGAGCCCACATCGCCGCCACAGTCCCGGAATGAAACCGTGACCTCCTGGCTCATAAGTCCCAGCTCAGCCAAGCCAGGCCTGCCAGGCGCTAACTGTTCTCTTTACAGGATGCCTGTAGAGACTTGGCCTCTTACCGGTATTGCTCCTGTTCCTTGGCCTCTTTACTTGGGGTGTAGTGGGGCAGTGGGGAGGGGAGAGCTAGTCTGGGTTTGGCCAGTGCAAAACCCAGTTAAGGAACTGACAGCAAGTCCCAAATGGAGTCTTTTGTATCAAGCCCAAGTCTCAAACAAAGACTTAATACTTACTCTAATTGCAGCTTCACTTTCTTCCTGGAATGTAACCTTTAACTTTTCAGCCTGGGGTTACCTGATAAGACCCCTTCCTGCTGCCGAGGGCTACCTTGTCTAAAACAATGTGTTCTTGGCCAATACTTTCCTTTTTCCACCTTTAAAACCATTTCTTTTCTGCAGCCGGGCTGAGCTTTTTGCTGGATGGATGCTGCCCAATTCAGAATCAGTGAATAAAGCCAATTAGATCTTTACATTTACTCAGTCGAATTTTGTGTGGTTTTTTTTAACACCCGGCTCTGAAACAGGAAGCCAGGCTGGCTGAAAGAGGGATACTTGGGGAGGGGGCCATGTGTTGCACAGGCAGTTTCTCCTGGACTGTGGGTCTCCTTTCAAAAAGCAGGTCTTACCACCCTGTTGGTCCTTCTGGAGGGCCCAGCTTAGGAAGTAGCAGAGAAATAAAAGAACAATCTCCGTTTATTAAACATGATTTTTCAGTTTCACCACACACTCCAGAAAAAAAGGAAACGGGGCTGGGAGTGGAGAAAAAGGGGTTGTGGTAGGGTAGAGAAGGGTGGGGGTGGGGGTGGGAGTGGGGGTGGGTAGGGAGGGAAACTGAGAAAACAAAATAAAACTGATAGGGAGACGCATCTCCCTACCCTCAGGGTGGTGGGCGGGGAGGGCAGCATGGGGGAGGGGGCTAGGAAGCTCTGTACACGGGGGTTGCCCCCAGCCCCCCCACACACACACCCCAGATATGTACAGTACAAACCCCAGATAATTACAACAGCCAAATAGGAGGAGAAGGGGATCCCAGGTAGGGTCCGAGGTTGGGAAAGCAGGGAAAGGGCACAGGGATAAAATTTCACATATTTACACTTTTATATAAGTATAAATTTGGCCCCGGCTGGGTGTATGTGGTTGGGGAGGGACTGAGGGGAACTGTCCATACAAAAGAAAGAAGGGTGGAGTCTGCGAAGTCTCAATACCAAACGCAAGAAGGGATGAGGGGGCAAGGCTGGGTAGGGGATAGCAGTCAAGGAAGAGGGGTGTCAGAAGGGGGTCTCCCCTCATGACCTACCCACCCCAAACCCCATCCATCCTACCTCCCCTATCCCGCCAGAGAGCTATGTACAGAGAAACACCGAAAATTGTGGAGCTGGCGGGAGGGAGGGAGGTGGAGGGAGCTTGGGGGGGAGAGGGGAGGGTAGCCCAGCCCTGTCCTACCTCCCCCAGGGGACAGAGTCATGGAAAGAGGCCCCCAACACCCCTCTTCCACACAGGTCCCCCCACCCTGGGGGAGAGAGACATGGCTTTTCCTAGGGTAAGTTCCCCCGTCCCCCTGGGAGCAGAGACCATGGAGAGAGAGGGGAGGGGCGGGGGACTGTGTGTCATGGCAGGGCAGATCAGCCAGGCCGTCCTCCCAACATACACACCCTCCTAAACCCTAACCCCTCACCCTAACCTCAGTTCCACCCCACCCAACACACTGGGGGAGGGGGGGGCAGCAGCCCCCTCACCCCGCTCTGGGACCAGCCGAGAGCAGATCAGGTGTGGGAGGAAGGGGAGACAACTCCCATTCCCCCCTTGCCGCCCCCACCCTGCCCCGGTGGCCCCCGCCCCGGCTGGGTCTGAGTGGGAGGGAGTAACTTTGAGTGGAAGGATGAGAAGGAGTTGTGCGTGCTGAGCCCCCCCAGACGCTCCTGAGAAATCAAGGGGTAGTAGGGCCCCCTCACTCGGGGTCCTCTCCCCATAACAAGGGGGACAGGGGAGGCCAAAGTGGGGCAATGGAGGGGAGTTAGATTGTCAGCTTTGTTACTGCTAAAAAATCACCCTGAAGTTGAAAGTTTGGAGGTGCCACACCCCCAGGGTGGGGGCGAGGGTCTGTCCCCCAGCGCTCAGGGGAACAATGAGGCAGAGGGTGGGGATAGCACCCCGGAGTGAAGGGGTCCGCGTGGGGCAGGTGGTGTCCTGGGGCAAGGGTCCGCGGGGGTCGCAGGGGGCAGCACCCCAACAGGAAGAAAAGGGGCAGCTACGGTCCCGCTCTCCCTCCTGGGAACGGTGCGGTGGGTGGGGGCCGCTGCCCCAGGAAGCGTTCAGGGAGGCAGTCTTGCTGTCCTTCGGCGACGTCCGGGGTGGTGATGGGCAAGGAGGTCTGTGATGCGGGGGCTAGTGGTCTGCGGTGTTTCGGAACTCGCCGTTCTCGGTGATCTGCAGCCGGGGTGGGGGGGGCGGGACTGGGGGGGCCAGGCCGTTCCAGGGTGGGGCCAGCGTCACACGCGGGTTTGTTGGACCCAAGGGGGGAAGCTGCCTCTCCTGCAAGACACCAAAGAGGAGAGCGCGGACTTATTGAGACGCATCGCAGTGGCCTGGGTGCCAGCCCCTCGCCCGGCCTCCCCCGAAGCCAGCCCAGGCACCCCGTCCTCTCCCCCGGGACCCCACACCCGCTCCTGCTGCGTTCGTTCCTCACCTTCAGGAGAAGTTACTTCTTCTGGGATCAGGGAGAAGGAATCTTACCCGGACTCCTAACAGGGCCTTCACCCAGGAGTCCCGGCGGGACGCCAGCTCAAAGGCACGTTCCTCCCACGCCCACCCCCGTCCCTCCGCCCAGCCCACCCCGGCCGAGGTAGGACTTCGTGTGGAGGGAACAGGGGAGGCAGTACAGCAAAACCTCATTAATCCAAACCCCCATGGGTTGGAACTTTTTCATAATTTGAATAAAAACGGGGCTTGAGTTTTCCTTTATCCGTGAAGAAAGGGTGTGCTAAGCAAATTAACAGTGGCAACGTGTCTGTGGGAGGAATATTTAACCTATACCAGAAAACAGACTTTTCAGTCCTATCTATTCATTAACGCATGCTCCCTGAGGGCGCGAGGAGAAAAGCCTATTCATTGAAGTTTACTTACTGTATATATTTGAAGACATGCATTTCATTAAATAGACACTGTCATTCAGTTTTGTCACTTATTCAGAGTAGCCATCTTCTCAAATATAACATTCCAAATTAGAGAGGTTTAACTGTACTGGGGGGAAAGGAAGGGGATTCAGGGAAGTGACTGGGAGGGCTGCCTCTCTCTCTCTCTCTCTCTCTCTCTCTAACCACAACAGCCTGGGAGCCCTGCAGACACAGCAGGCCCCAACCTCTGCAGCCACAGGAAGTGCAAACACTTCATTCCTCCCACCCCCGTGTTCCTTCCACTCCCTCTCCCTGGCTCCATTACAGGTGAGGGCTCCAGACCCTCCTCCCATCCCTGTTCTGTATCACCCCTGCGCTCCGGCCCAGCCTGGCTCCGGCCCTCTGCTGGGCGAGAAGGCAGAGGCTCCTGGGTGCTCACTAGCCTAACACACAGCACTCGGTAGCCCGCTTTGGCCATGCCTCTTGCCCTCGTTTCCGCCAACCAAAAAATAAAACACAGGCACAGAATTAATTTTTAAATTAATGCCTGAGCTTAGGTAGTGCTTTAGCAAATACCTAAAAGTGCTTTAGCAAAAGCTTCAAATTATTTCCTGGGCCACATGTCTGACCTTCTCTCTAAAGGACACAACATCCTCCCAGGCAGAAGCTCCCACTCAGCTCTCCCTCCAAACCAAAGACCCCTCTCAGAACCCCAGCCAGAAGGGTTGGCTCTCCAGTCAGGAGGGCTGGCGGCAGGGAGGGAAGAGACCTCGGATGCCCGTCCCTCTGCGTGGCTGCCGGGCATGCCCCACGGACCCCGTTAGGAAGTGGATAAATTGGGGTGCCATTGTTCATCTTCGCTGCAGGAGTCCTTCCGTGGTGAGGTGACTTTCAGCGTATTTACAGACCACTAAGACTTGGACAGAGGCTGGGCAGGCAGAGCTAGTGACAGCCCGAGGAGCAGTGCCCGCCGCAGACGACGCTCAGAAATGGCGTCCGTGGCCCACAGGTTCCCGTGACTGGCCTTTTAGGGAGGACTGTGTCTGCAAGGCCACGGGGCGGCGGGAGGGGAGCGATGGCATTAGCCACCTGGGATGTGGCTCTGACAGGAAGAGCAGAGGTTATTTTTCAGGCTGCTCCCGCACCCCGGACTGGGAATCAGCATGGCCCCGACCCCAGGATCTTATCTATATAGAAGACCTGGCCCCCTGCCACCCGGGCGGTAGGCGTGCTGACGCCTGCCACGGCTCCTCGCTCCTCCCGCTCCACTCACCCTGCCTACTGCCCTGACCTCTGATCAGCAGTCCTCCCAGGCCCCAGGCCTCCCCGAGTTAAAAGCTCCTAACTCCCACCAGATGCCTCTACCTCCCAGCTGCAAGGAGAAGGAAGAGAGAAGTGGGGGCGAGGCGAAGGAAGGAAGGGGGTAGAGAGCGAAGGTCAGGTACGGAAGAGGAAACCCCACCTACCTGCTGTGGTCAGAGCAGCCCCTCTAGCAAGGGTGCCCAACCCACCATCACCGCTCCCCTCAACAAGCCCACGCCCAGCCGCCCAACCCCAAGGACACTGGTGAAATGGGGGGTGACAGACATACACTGGAGAGTCAGAGGAAGAGGAAGAGGAAGAGGCTGACCGTTAAGAGGAGGCTGTGGGTGGGTTTGTGGGAAAGGGGGTGTGATCTGGGACAGATGGCTACTGCCGCCAGGACAGATGCCTGGCACTTGAAGGTGTCACCTAGCCGACCAGTCTCTGGGCAGCACCTTGGGAGGTGGTCTATGCCGGAGGTATGAGGGCGGGGCCTGTGGAGGTTCCCAGGTGTAGTGAGGGCCCACAGTGAGGGGGTCGCAGTGAGGGCCCTCAGTGAGAGGGCTGGAGTGAGGGGGCGCAGTGAGGGCCCACAGTGAGGGGGTCGCAGTGAGGGCCCTCAGTGAGAGGGCCGGAGTGAGGGGGCGCAGTGAGGGGCCACAGTGAGGGGGTCGCAGTGAGGGCCCTCAGTGAGGGGGCCGAAGTGAGGGGGCACAATGAGGGGCCGCAGTGAGGGGGTGCAGTGAGGGCCCTCAGTGAGAGGGCCGGAGTGAGGGGGCGCAGTGAGGGACTGCAGTGAGGGCCCGCAGTGAGGGGGCCGCAGTGAGGGGGGCTGTAGTGAGGGGGCCGCAGTGAGGGGGCCGCAGTGAGGGACTGCAGTGAGGGCCCGCAGTGAGGGGGCCGCAGTGAGGGGGGCTGTAGTGAGGGGGCCGCAGTGAGGGGGCCGCAGTGAGGGGCCGCAGTGAGGGACTGCAGTGAGGGCCCGCAGTGAGGGGGCCGCAGTGAGGGGGGCTGTAGTGAGGGGGCCGCAGTGAGGGCCCGCAGTGAGGGGCCGCAGTGAG